CTAAATACGCAGTATTCTGTTTTATAATATTGTGTATACAATAAATCACAAGAACTAAAACTGGAATAATAAACAAAAACGATAAAAATGCAACTATTAAGTAAATATAAATAAAACAATTTTCTACGAATTAATGCCAAAGTAATTTAGAAAAAATTTTAGATTAGCAATATTAGAAGAATCACTACTAACAGTGGAGAATGGGATTTGTACAAAGTTATAAACATATACAGTCCCTTGTCGATCGAACTTCTTGCAGTTCAGATGAGTAAGGCAGATAGTAAGGTGAATATGTTCCATTGTTATCGACGCATGTCTACGGTGTATTGCCTAATGACAATTCCCAGGGTACGGTGAATGCCAGTCACAGGTAAAAACGTCGAAACAAAAAGGTATACACTTAGCCTTACAGAACTATAATCTACATATCTGTAGCATACTCTACCTCCATCCACAATAAGAAATATATATAATTAAATGTTATAATATATAAATAAGAATATTAAACATACTGTCCAGTCTTCGTACGTCTGTGTGTCTTTGTATGAGAAGTTACAATATCAATAGGTATACAAAAAGGCAGTAGTCCAATCCTCTATAAGTTTCCATTTACTCGTGGGGACTACCCATGCTTAGTAATCAAGGTTATTATATGTATTTTCATCATATTAATTAATCGTATATAAAATATTCACAAATAATAATATTTCGCAGAAAACAAAACTAAAAATATACAAAACATTTATTCCCCCAGTAGTAACATTTGATAAGAATGCCGGATATGAGAGTACCGATTAAGATTTATGAGAACAAAGTAGGAACCAGAAGGCGACCAAGAAAATAATGAAAAGACTGTATGCAGCAGGACTAAGAAGAAATCAGCATAAGAAATTGGAAAACAAAATCAAAAAATAGAGAAGAATGGAAGACTGTTGTTAAACAGGCTTAGGTCCTCCATGGACTCTATAGTCACGCATGATGATGATGATATAAGGCATTTAATATTAATCACAATATTCATATAACTGATATTTACAACAGTTAAAGCTTTAAAACAACGTATACATATACAAAAGACATAATATTTTACCATGTATAGTTCAAATTTTGATTCGACTCTTATATTAGTGTACGATTTAATAAATATATGTATATGTTATGTGTAAGAATCATTATATATATATCATTCAGGCCTATTCTGAATCGCAAGGGAATGCGAGTTTGTTCGCTGTTCCCAATTCCCCTATTCTGAATAAATTTGGTATGTTCCCTGTTCCCAATTCCCCTATTCTGAATCGCATGCGAATGTGAGTTTTTTCCTAATTTTGCACAAATTCTCTCGCTACCAACTTGTTGGGGAGACAAGTTAAAAAAGTATTAAAAACAGTTTAATTTAATATAAAAGTAACTGAAAATGATCAGATTTTTGAATATATTTTAATAAAATTATTATTTTAATAAAATTATTACAATAAATTTAATATTTTCAAAGTTTTATTTTTATATTTTATCCACAAGAGTTGATTAGTTTTCCGCATATATATTAATAAAATTATTTGAATAAATTTAATATAACAAAATTTTCATTTAATATATTTTATTAAAATTATTATTTTAATAATATTATAACAAATTTGAAATATTTAAATTTTTATTTATTTATTTTATTAACACGGGTTTTTTTCACTAATTAAAGTGTTAACTATTGTTTTTAAAACAATAGAAAAATGAAAGGAGACCAAATTCTGAAATGAATGGGATTCCTAGAATAAGTTAAAGTAAACTTTTGCAATTATGTGCAGGTAAAACATTGCTTCTTTTTTATTGTAACATCTGCACAATTATAAACTATTATTAGTTCATTAATTGAAGCATGAAGGACATTTCTATCCTAATTATATAAAAAAATTAAATTATAATTTACGCCAATTTTGTATAAAAGCAGTGAATGTTTGAAAATAAAGACATTGAAGAATTGCTATCATAATGTAAGGTTGTTTTTTAATTAGTTTAAAAAAGAGTTCAAAATTTAGAATTTAGCATTTGGTTTATTTTGCTCATGCATAATTCTTTTTATATATTTATTTTACTCATTAAAATAAAAGTTTCTAATTGTTTATTATTTACTCATAAAATAACTTATATTTATTTCCGATAATTTGTGCAGCAAACAAATAATGCGATTTTTACATTTAAATCAACATATGATACGCAATTCTTTTCTTTGTTTTGCTCATTTTCTCACTTTTCGTCATTAAAAAGTGGCATGGTTGCCAAAATTTAACAAAACAAATTTGAAATTGTTGTTGTTCACGAAACTGCTGTCTCCCTAGCGATTCAGAATAAGGGAGCTGTGTGTTCGGGAACAGCGTGCGAATAGGGAGTTTTTTCGCTGGGAGTATTCAGAATAGGCCTGATTATATATCAATATAAAAATTGTCAAAAATTAAAAAATAATGTATATAAGATTTATTTAATTTCATAAAAAGGTTTTTATATTGTACAAAATGCATATAAGAAGGGTATAGTACTAAGTAAATAAAGGCACAGAGGAGTAAGAGCAATTGTAATAATAACAGATTATAATGATGTCATATATTACGCTTATAAGGAGAGTGATATTATCAATCAACTGCAGACACATCATCATAAAACAGTATAAATTGATATAACTATTTCAAGAGATTATCGAAACCAAAACAACCACCAGCGCGTAGAATATGTTGATATAACTCAAGTTCTACGCTTTAAACTTTAGGACTGCAAGCTTTTTGATAACAAAATTTTACGCAGTCTATATATAGTGAAATAAGTATCTATAGTTATTATACAATGTTAAATTAAATCAACCACCATAATAGTCTGTGGCTAACGCATATGCCACACATTGCAGTGGATGATTTGATTTAGGCCTTAACTATGTACATCTCATTTGCATATCTAAAAAAAAATTATCTGCATTTGCATTTACAACTTTGGGTATTACTCAGTACATATCGATTTCAATACTATATTAAACTTCATGTACATATGTAACTATAGATACTTGTGCGATATATATGTGAGAGAAAGATGAATTGCATGGCCAGATATGGTAACACTTTATTGTGTTTAATGGAATTGTTTCCATTGTAAACACTACCACCACCACCACCACCATCAGCCGTAGTCATATCGTCGTATCACATACATTACTTTTTGCATTTATTTAATTTTAGTTAGATTTCGTTTCTATTTTTCGTTTTTTAAAAGAGTTCAAGGCAATTCGCGCAATTACAATTCATAACATAGTTTATGTATGCAAATTGTATTGTATCTAAAGGGTAAAAACAATTTAAATGAAAACCGAACAAAACTAGAAAATAGAGTTCACCAAACTTTGACCATGCAGTATCTAAATTATAGTAAAAAATCTTCATTTAATTAAAAAAAGGGTGTTTTCCAAATATTTTGAAATAGCCATTCACTTTTGCAAAAAATAATACAATATGATTGAGCTATACTTTTATAGTATAGTAGAAAAGTACAGTTGAAAATAGCTATTATTACAATGGCTAAACTATTATAATCTTTTGGAATCATATTTCTATAAGAAACCAACATATATCAAAAACTGCAGCAGTAGCGCGCCCTGGACGCAGGTTACACCGATAAAAGTCTTAGATGACTAATAGGAACCCTATCACGAAGTAATACTAACGTAGTCTCGGGATAAGACAAGGGTCTCTAGGAATGAGAGAGAGTGGCTTAGTCCATGCGAGTCGGGCACTCACTTTCCGGGGCGTCGGATTGTGGTTAAAAAACAAAAACTATCAAAACTGAAGTACATATATAAATATTAGCATGTCTTCGTTTAACTAACCTTAATTTTTTAATGTACCTTCTGCTCAAAAAGTACCCGGATTTTGTTGTTTGTTAACTACTCCTTAAGTAATAGACCTTTTTCAAAAATTTTTTGTTATGTTGGTACACCCTTTCTTGACATATGGTACAAATTTGAGCGCCATCTGTCAATTAGTTTGTTTACAGCAGCTGTTAATGTGAGACTACCTCAAGTGCATTTAGCGATTTTTACTATGGAAAATTCTTGTTGTACGCGATTTTTTGACCAAACACGGCACCACTGTCATCGCTCAGGCATCATATTCGCCAGATCTGGATCCGTGCGATTTTTTTCTGTTCCCGAAACTCAAATTGCCCCTTCGTGGTAAGCATTTTAAGTCCATTGAATCGGTAAAAGAGAATTCGCTGAAGGAACTAAAAGCCATACCTTTCACCTACGAAAAGTGTATGGAAGATGGGTTAAGCGTTGGCATATGTGTATCGCTTCAGAAGGAGCATATTTTAAAGGAGATGAAATAAATTTGGAATAAAATGTAAATTTGTGTGTTTTATTTACAAAATTCGAGTACTTTTTAAGCAGAAGGTAGAACGATTCTATAAAAAGATGGTTTTAAAAATGTTTTTTTTTATTCGATTAGGTTTTGATTTAATATGTTTTGAGAGTATTTAAATATTATAATATAAGAAAATATTACCCTTAGGTTAGATTAGGTTATACCGACAATCTCTAGAGGATTGACTTAGGAATATTGGCTATTGTGTTATCGTATATAGAGAAAATCTCTATATTACCGATTTCCCGACCGACAAAAGAGTTCACTCATATATAATTTTTATTTATTATATATATTTTAATGAATCTGCTTAATCAAAACACCCAACGCTTCAATAAGCGATGATTATTCAATGCTATTTATTGCACTCTTGTGATGTTCTTTTACATATATAGGTTCATATCTCAACTATATCTAAATCTAAGAAGAAATTTTTTGACGTTTTTTTTATAATGTACGAAAACATTAGATAATTGACTGTGTGAAATATCAGTATCTTTTAATATTATATTTAATTTTTTTAGATTTGTGAAGTGTGTTATTGTATTATTGTTTTTTTTTTAATCGTGTAGCATTTAAAGTGGAATGAGATATGAAACTCACTTTTCATGCCTTATACAAAGCTTTTGATTCGTATTCTTATATCTGAAAAATAAAAATATGACAATTATGAAAGGAATAATTGGGATGAGGAAAGGAATTAAGGATTCAAAAAAATAAAAAATTAAAAAAATTAATTTAATTGTGTAGAAGATTTTATGAGCGTGGTCTTAAAGGAATAACTTTTAATAAATTTTGAAATTAATATGATTCATATTTATTATAGTTAAAAAAATAATAATAATTAATATGACTTTGAGTTTCAAATTAAATAAATTTTAAAAATAAAAAAAAAAAAAAATTAATAATAACTTTTTACAATAACAAATATTTAGTTACTTAAAATTATTAAACAGTTATTTAATATTATTAAATAATTTGAATTCAAATTATAAACAAATTTTGGAATTAATTTTTGAGGGAAAAAATTAAAAAAAAATTTCTCAATAACAGGTGATACCATCGATTTGTTGACGATATTTGATAGATCGATTTGAAGAATAGATAGTTCTCTAGATATCGAGCTTTAAATTTTAAAATTTCAAATTTTATTTATATATAATTAATATCTCAAAAATTTTATTTTAATAGAAATATATATATAAAATATATATATTTTATATTAAGTATACCTGTTATATGAAGGTATATATATTATTATGTTGAGGAAAGTTGAGTTAGTGCACCTGAGCATTTTTACTCTATATTAACTGCGAGGTTTCTTTAAAACCCCTCTTTGTGCCTTGACTGGATTATTATTTATCTCATCATCAGACTAAGTAATAATTGATCTCAGATCTGCATACCTCCCCGAGGAGCCTGTAACTATTCTGAGATTTGATAACGCGGTGTTAGTAAGTCTGTCAGATTTCGCAAATAATTTCAAGGCTCTATCTTTTATGTGTTTTTTGAAGGTATATATATCTATATCATATTCGTACATATTATTAAAATAGACTTTAAAAACTTATTGTTAAATTTTACAAAAATATAAATTTCATTTTAGTTTAATTTAATATAAAGCTAATAATCGTATACATAATTACTATAATTTGTTTAAACAAATTCAATTAATTGGCGTCTTTATTATCGTTTATTGTTTTGATGTAAATAAGGGAAATGCGTGAATCATTAATTAAGTATTACAAGATCGACAATATCATTATTATCAGTCTTAATTAAATAATCATTTGTGTTTGACATTGCTACAAAATAATTTAATTAAATAATTTGTATGTATAGAAGACAGAAACACTGTGATAAAGTTGCGCACAGAAATGAGTGAATGGAGGAGCACAAATTAATAAATTCAGAAACTTAAAAAAAAAAAATAAAATAAATAAATAATAATAAGAAACAAAAACATGAATAATGACAATAAATAATAAAAACATAAAGTATTAAAAGAGACCAAAAATTTATTTAAATAATACAAATTTTAAACGAAAGTGTCAATGAACTGCAATTTAGAGAATCGTTGTCATACACATATACATAAATATATATCTACATATATTGTATATATTAATTCAGGTATATTTTAATATATATATAAGTATGTATATGTACATATGCAACATGGAAAAACTTTTACAAGATTAGCACTGAAATATACAAAAGAGGTTGTTGACGTTTTATTTATATTTTAACGGGGTTTATAGAACAGAAGAGAATTGTAAACACGCTTTATGACAGGTACCAGCACGGATTATAGGTAAAATCTCATAAAAAGTGGACAACAAACGCAAGGTACCAGTTTTGTTTGAGCTTGTGTTAGGTGGTCATTAAGCGGTAAGACTTACTTAGTTAATGTAATCTAATGGAAGCTCTAAATACAAAGAATTATTAGGAAGAAAACAATTTTTGAAAATTGCAATTAAAGAATTTTCACCAAAAAGTAATTTTCTTACATCTTCAATCTAAAAGAAAGAAGATAAATAACAAACAAGCAACAGGAAAACATACCCTCAGCTCTCATTTCATAATTTACTTATATAGGAATATTCTCAGTATCACATCTTGAGATTTGTGTAACATTGAAAGTAATGTATGGTATAATTAACCAGGCCCGCGGCGCTCTGTTCTACTAGAAGAGAAGGACAGCAGTAAGTAATAATTAATTAGTGGGGGCCATAATATTCTCAGTATCACATCTTGAGATTTGTGTAACATTGAAAGTAATGTATGGTATAATTAACCAGGCCCGCGGCGCTCTGTTCTACTAGAAGAGAAGGACAGCAGTAAGTAATAATTAATTAGTGGGGGCCATAATATTCTCAGTATCACATCTTGAGATTTGTGTAACATTGAAAGTAATGTATGGTATAATTAACCAGGCCCGCGGCGCTCTGTTCTACTAGGAGAGAAGGACAGCAGTAAGTAATAATTAATTAGTGGGGGCCATAATATCCTGGTGACATGTAATAAAACTATGTCAAGTTACATTAAAGATTTGAAGATCAAGATTGTATTTTTACTAAAAATTTCTAAAATAAAAATATTTTAATATTATGTATTTTAAATTACAATATTCTTACAAAGTTTACAATACAAAATTATTGTTAGATCAGTGGTAAATAACCTATGTAAAATTCAATTTAGTATAAATTAAATAGTTTTCCTATAAAATACAGAAAAATATAATATATCATAAGAACAAAAATTCACAACCATATATAATAATCTGACAGCTAATCTGACTATCAAAGTTATTTAAAAGCAACTGTAGTTGTTAAATGCCGCAAATCCGTAAATGAGTTAGCTCAATAGTTCAACACACATATGATTTGGTTACCGGAGCACAGTGATATAGGAGTAATTAGTACAGAAAACTAAAAAGTTGGTATTGCCTCATTGACCTATAACTTTATAGTCAGAAATATATTTATAAAACAAAGAGATATATATAATAGAATCCATAAAAAATATTTTTACACATGATTCTCATTTGAAAATAAGAACCCATTCGGTTCTCGAAATACGATCTAAAAAGTTAGAGGCCTTTTTCAATGCTAATATATGATATTTTAATCCTTAAAAGTTTTATTACTGGGCACGGACTTATAGGCTGACATACCTAAAGTATGGGTATTAAATTTTAGACTACAAAACTTGAAATGATGCGAAAAAATAAACTATCAAATGATTTCTTTGTTTCTCAAACGTATAATTAAAAAAGAATGAAAAAAGGTTGTCAGCGTATCTCCTCGAGGATTACTAAAATATGTAACATTGACATAAGACTGGAAAAAGCAGTTTAGTCAGATTGATTGATTCATATCAAATCGATCAAAAGCCAGACCTAGGGAACTACTAATGCTAAACAGAAAAGGCATCCAACTTGTCACAAGGCTTTTCACTGGACATCATCTATCGAATTTAGATATTACAAGGGACGAAGAAGTTGCGAACAAAAGGAAACAACAGAGCAGCAGAATAGTTTTGTAGACTCAGATTTTGGTCTATCCACTTATAACGAAATTAGGCAACATCACTCCATGAAGACATTTTTAACTGCTATGCGCCTATTGAACTGAAGCTGGTTTGTCACAATAATCTTTGAAGAATGCAGTGACGTGGTGACATAGTTAGTTCCAAACCCTTTGTAAATCTAATCTAATCTAATTAACCATTGACATTGACAAAATCCTACTAAAGAAGTGTGATATTATAATGGACCTTTTTGGATAAAGTGTGTCCGTTTTCAAATTAATGGAAATTAATTTCTGCGTGTATTCTATCTGCACTAATGTTAAAAATATCAAAAACAGATGGCTACTTTAGGTACGGTCATAAGCAATAGAATTTAAAGGTAAATCTTTAAATACTTGATTTATTTCGAGTTAATGTATAAATTTGATAAAGTTGAAGTTCTAAATGTGTTGAATAATTTAATGTGACATGAAGTACTAGGCATTTTTAGTGTACATACGCAAACGTGAAAGGAATTCAAATGGAAAATTTTGCAAATGCAATACGAGAGAAGCATGAGAAGCATATGAACAACATCGTTAAAATCCAATTTTTGTGAATAATGCAGCTAAAGTACTGCATTTAATGACTCATTTATGCAATGCAAACGTTCTTTTGAAACGGTAATCGCACTCAACTGGGAACTTGGAACATGTTTCGCTCGTTAAGTTTCATATATGGCAAATTATTTAGATACTATCATTACTGAAACAGAGACAATGTATACCAGATCAAATGCATACATATGTATGCACTTTTAATTGCTAGTGCAATCATTCATTTGACATGCACCTTCATTGAATACATCAGAGAGTAATGCACTTTTTTATGGCAGTTGTTTTATGTGCAACGCATTTCAGTGCATAAAGGGTTACTTTTGACGCAAACATTTAATTAATTTGATTAAAAGTTGGTGAATTGTGCAAATATATAACAAAACCTTTCGCTCGGTGCCTTTGCCAAGACACGCAATATGCAAACAAATGACGCACGTGCAGTAATGCACCAACTGCCATATGCTATATGCCATTTGCTATATGCCAGAAAAATAATTTACACATAGCGTCAATGTGTCTGACAGGAAACATAAGAAAAAGTTGGCTCGGTAAGAAACAACCTTTAATCAATAAACTAAATGAAAATGCCTAAAAAGCCTACTGCCTACGCACACAACTGTTAGTTATCAACAACTTCAATAAACATCCACACCCTCTTATAATGAATTCCTTATGTGCTTTTATATATTCTATATTAACTGTTGAACGATAAGGGGTTTACACATTTTTATTTGAGATAAATAAGACATGTCATATAGTCTTACAAGAATAAGTTAAGTAATACTGGAAGTGATTAACTGCATCACGGTTATCAATACAGGAACTTGCAGTGAGTAATCATTACAAGTGATTACTTAAAGTTTCTAATCTTGCTTAACTCTTTATTATTATTAATTATTACAATCGACAGTCTACAGTATCCAAAGAAATTAGGGCTATTGATAAGCCCAATTATATAATATAACTCTTGGTTCAAAATATCGTTCGATTCAATGTAAGCTATATAGCCATAAATAC